AATTCTTTTCTTCTTGCTTTTCTTTTTCTCAGTTAACTAGGGAACAAGGTCATCAACTGAGGGAGGAATAAGACTTCTTATTACTTCTGAGAAGTAAGAAGATTTAAAATAGCATCCCAGGAGAGTGGGGCAAGGATGAGGAAAACAAATGCTGGAGAGAGGAGACAGGAAATTCAAGGACTAACCAACATGGTTCTGTTCTTCTCTAGCCGCATTTAGCTGCATGGGTACAGGAGTGGAATTGGTAGAGCTCTTTTAAATGTCCCCCCCCCCCCCCGATACTTTAGTTTCTTCATTTAAATAAGTCTTGAATCATAAGACTATCCCACAACTTACTAGCCCATTCATTTTACTGACATTTCTATTGTGTCTGCAATTTTACTTTTTTTTGTTGTTGTTGTTCTTTTGGACAGGCAGAGTTAGACAGTGAGAGAGAGAGAGAAAGGTCTTCCTTTCGTTGGTTCACCCCCCAAGTGGCCGCCACGGCCGGTGTGCTGCGCCAATCCAAAGCCAGGAGCCAGGTGCTTCTCCTGGTCTCCCATACAGGTGCAGGGCCCAAGCACTTGGGCCATCCTCCACTGCCTTCCCAGGTCACAGCAGAGAGCTGGACTGGAAAAGGAGCAACTGGGACAGAATCCGGCGCCCCAACTGGGACTAGAACCTGGGGTACCGGCGCCGCAGGCAGAGGATTAACCTAGTGAGCCTCGACACCGGCTGCAATCTTACTCTTTCAAACACTGTTGCAATGAACATCTTCACGCGTGTCTCTTTGTGCTTACCCGGTAGAATTCCTTGTCTAGGATATTTATCTACAAGTGGAATGAGATATGAGTCATATCTCATTCATATGGGTCATGAGATATGCTTATCTTCAATTTTAGTGGGTATTACCAAGTTACTCTCAAAAATGATTCTACCAACTTACCTTCTCAACAGTAGTGTATAGAAGTTCTCATTTTTTCCCTTACAGATTTCTACATTTTATAAGATTCTGATTTCAAGACTGACCAACACTTTATGAGCCAGTTTTGTCTCTCAACAAAACTCCACTTGGAGTCGGCGTTGTGGCACAGCAGGTTAAGCTGCCACCTGGGATGCTCACATCTAATACTGGAGTGCCTGGGATGAAGCCCCACCTCTGCTTCCTACCCAGTGTCCTATTCATGCACACCCTGTGAGGTAATGGCTCAAGCACTTGGGTCCCTGCCAAGATGGAATTCTGTGTTCTTGGCTTTGGTCTGGTCCAGCTCCAGCTGTTGCAGACACTTGAGGGGTAAACCAGCAGATGAAGAGCTCTCTTTCTCTGTTGCTGTGCCCTTCAAATTAATAAAAATAAAATAAACTTTCAAGAACTCCACTCCATTACTCACCTAATAAGACTATATTATGCCGGCGCCGCAGCTCAATAGGCTAATCCTCCGCCTGCGGCGCCGGCACACCGGGTTCTAGTCCCGGTCGGGGCGCCGGATTCTGTCCTGGTTGCCCCTCTTCCAGGCCAGCTCTCTGCTGTGGCCCGGGAGTGCAGTGGAGGATGGCCCAAGTGCTTGGGCCCCGCACCCCATGGGAGACCAGGAGAAATACCTGGCTCCTGTCTTTGGATCAGCGTGGTGCGCCGGCCGTGGCGGCCATTGGAGGGTGAACCAAGGGCAAAGGAAGACCTTTCTCTCTGTCTTTCTCTCTCACTGTCCACTCTGCCTATAAAAAAATAAATAAAAAATAAGACTATATTATATGTGCCTAGTAGGCTGATAAGCTGGGAAACAAAAAGGGGTAAAACCATAGAAGTGGATTCTGAGTCCCTGGCACTCTAGTGTAGGATAAAGTCAAATAATCACAATCAGAAACTGAGGTAACATGAAGGGTATTAACAATAATCTATGAAAACTTACAAGAGGGAGACAAATTTGAAGCAGGAGTCATCAAGACCTTTCCTTATGTGACATTTGCACTAGAATGGATGAGTAGGATTTAACCAGATTAGTATGTCTAACAGCCCGCTGCAGCTGTAAAGAACCGAGCATTACCACCTCCGACGTACCTAACAAGCGGAAGTATCTGCTTCCCATCTAGAGCTGTGCTGGGTGTTCTGGCAGATGGAATGCCTGTCCTTGAGTCCTTTCCCAGACTGGAATCCCCTGGATCCCTTCTGCAATTCTGAGACCATCACTGCTGCCCCATCGTATCAAGTTTATGCTTATTCTTGTATGGTCCTCACACCATTATACTACCCCAAACATGCTTATCTCATAATCCCATATTGGACATTTTCTCATTCTGGATACCTTAAGAAAAAATTCAATAGAAACAAATGATGGGGTGCGGAAAAAGATAAAAATGCTCAATGTCATTATAAATTAAAAATCAAAACTAAACCAAATAGTATCTCAATAATAGGGAACTTGTTAAAGAGAGCAAGAGACCATCTAATAACATGGAAAACATGATAGAATGGGTTGTTAAAAAAGTATAATGTAAGATTTAATCTGTAGTGTGGCCAAATGTTAACTGATACATTAAGGTATGAGATTGCGAGTTTAGGAGATTTCTGGAAATTGTCAGAAAAAAATTTCATGGTTTTTCACCTTCTCTACTCAGACTCCAACTTAATCTGTCATCTACTCACCCTCAAATGACACTGAGTTACTTGCAGCTCCTTGGAGTTAACAGAGCTCTGGAGACATCAGCTTAAATATTAAGAGCTATGCCTTTAAAGTCAGACAATCCCAGGTTCAAAACCTGAATCTGCCTTGGGCAAATTCAAGTTACATCTTTAGGTCCCTCTCCTGTACTGTCAAACAAGGATATAATACAAATATTAGGTTTCTATAATCCAAGCAACAGAAACACACAAAAAATCAGCTTAAGCAAAAAGGATGAATCACTGGGCTGGTAATGACTGATACGTGCTTCAGAAATTGAGCCAAGTTCCAGGACCACAGGGAATAGAAACGAGAACACTACGTCAGCCTTATCCTCTCCTACTACAGGAGGCCACTGATTTCTGGCAAGAAATCCAGCTCCAGGAAGCTCTAGGCCTTTATTTCTCCAGTCAAGTTAGCCTTAAATAAGGCCAAGATTCACTGCCATTTCTACTTTGAAAAAATTCTGGCAAAGGACCCTAACTGGCCTAACGAGATCACATGCCTACCCTTAAAACTATCACTGAGTCCCAGGGTTATCCTGACTCACATTCCTGTGGTCAGGACAGCAGGGATTATTACAACAAGAGGCGGGAAAGCTCGGCAAGGACAAGAACCAGTGTAACACCTTAATCAGCTATAAAGATTAAATCGAATGACAGATGTGAAACATGTAGGACAACGCCTTTTAAGCAATAAGCACTCAATAAATGGTAGCTATTAACTCAGACTTGTGAAGAATAGAATTTAGCAGCTAATTCACCCTTTTAAAAATACGTACCTATTTACTTACTTAGAGGGAAGTGGAGAGAATCTTTCATTTGCTGGTTACCCCTAAAATGGCCACAACAGCCAGATTTGGGTTAGGCCGACGACAGGAAGTCCATCCTGGTCTCCTACATGATTGGCAGGGGTCGAAGCCCTTGGGCCATCTTTCACTGTCTTCACAGGTGCATTAGCAGGAAGCTAGATGGGAAGCAGAGCAGTTGGGGCTCTAACTGGCACTCTGATACAGGATGCCAGCATTGCAAGCAGTGGCTTAATCTGCTGCACCACAATGCCAGCTCCAGTCCCTCCTTCCTGATGCACCATTCTCTAATCTTTACCATGTTCTAAAAATTGAGAAAGACAAACTGATTACCATTGGACTCAGAAGCCTTTATTGGAAGAATACAATGTTACAAGGATGTATTTCATTTTGCCCTGAAAGGCTGGGTATTCCTAAGGGCATGGTGTGAGGTGCTGGGCTTAGGAGTCCTGTTCAATTAGCCACACACTTCCTAGGCTTCCTCCTTGTCAATGAAGATGGCTGAGATTTACAGTGGTGCTGGATCTAGGCCAGGCACCACAAACAAATCCCTGGTATTCTTTGGGTGTTCTGGAACTAAGTTTTTTATAAATTTCCGTAACAAGGTCACCATTTGGTTACAATTCATGCCATTCCTGCAAATAGTCCACATTAGAGATCCCCAATCAGCAGCACTGTCAGGATTCCTAGTTAATCAGTAGGGGAGGGTCTGAGTAGAATCACCCACTGGTAAACCATGTATCAGCCAATACAAGCACGGTCCTGGCATTGTACACGCTAAGCACTGAGCATCATAAAGTTTTTTTTTGGATAATAATTTCTTGGAAGAACATCTTGGCTTGCAAGTGATAGAATTACAGGGCTACACAGCATATTTCAGCCCCCATACACATTTTCCTCTGCAAAGAATGAAAATACTTGAAAGCCACTTTATGCTATACAGGATGAGAGGGTGATGGATCCTGCCACCTGGCACACCACCCATGTCACTCTTCACTGAGAATCATAATTAGGCTTAAGGAATTTTGCCTCTGAGAGGGGAAAACACCTCTTTAGTGAACAGGTTAACATTCACAGTTGTTTCCAAATCTGCCTGTAATGTTGGTGTCAATGAACAAAGGTTCTAGAAATTCATTTAGACTATGTGATGGGAAGCGTGAGGAGACATTGAGAATTGGAGTGGTGGGGCCGGCGTTATGGCATAGTGGGTAAAGTCACTGCCAGTGACAGACATTCCATATGGGCTCTGGGTCAAGTTGAATCCCAGCTGCTTCACTTCTGATACAGCTCCCTGCTAATGTCCTAGGTGCCTAGGAAAGCCATGAGACGACCCAAGCGGGAGACCCAGATGAGTTCCAGGTGCCTGGCTTCAGCTTGGCCCAGCCCTTAACGTTGCAGCCATTAGGGAGTGAACCAGAGGATGGAACACCTGTCTCCATCTCTCTAATTGTGCTTTTCAAGTAAAATAAAAAAAAACTGGAGTGGACCACTGAAGCTTACCTAGCTCATGCTTTACTCATAGGAAAGAATCATAGAAATAAAACAAGCTGGTATTTTTTTTTTTTTTAAGATTTATTTGAAAGGTGGAGTTACAGAAACAGAGAGAGAAGCAGAGTCTTTGATCTGCTGATTCACTCCCCAAATGGCTGCAATGCCAGGACTGGGCCAGGATGAAGCCAGGAGCCAGGAGCTTGGATGCAGGGGCCCAAGCACTTGGGCCATCTTCTGCTACTTTCCCAGGCACATTAGCATGGAGCGGGATCAGAAGTGGAGCAGCTGGGACTGGAACCAGCACCCACATGAGATGCCGGTCCTGCAGGCAGTGGCTTAACTCACCACATCACAGTGCTGCCCCCAACAAGCTGGTATTTTTATGGTGAAATATTTGTGCACAAAATGAGTCAATACATGTTGTTTCTCTAAATGGAGTCAGATAATTTATGGCAAAAAGTAGCTGGATTTTTATTTCTGTGTAACAAAACTGATTTGGGGAACATTCTCCTCTTAGTTTTTCCTTAGTTGCTTTCCTACCGATCTGATATATAAAGCTTAGGTCAGTGCGCTTTCATAGGAGTGCCCTAAAAAGCACAAGAGGACTTAATAGTTCTATGAAACTGACATGTTAGCTCTATGTAACTTCTAACTGGGAAAAGGAAAAAGTCACCAGAAGCTCAACTATCAACAGCTGCCGCTGATGTTCTGGTTTGTAAGCTTCTACAAGTTGATTTAAATAGGCCTGTGGCAAAGCTGCATACATCCTGCTTCTTATGCTTTTAGGAATTTCTAAATGCTCAACTCAAGGGTGCTTAGTAAATGTTTGGGTATCTGATTCACTTCAAACCCTTCAGTCACAATGCCATGGGGACAAAGATCCAGGAGACCTGCATTCTCCAATCCACTTAGCTCTTATGGGCTGTACCATACTGTGCAAACCACTTCAAATCTTTGGCTTTGTCTCTTTATCTGTACAATGAAGTGGTTATGCTACTTAAACTAATTCTTTCAATGGCAAATTTCTGCAGGTGGAGTTGGTTTCCACAGTGGACTTACTTTAAGAGTTGCAGTTGTCAAGCAATTTTTAAAAATGACTTTTCGTCATTACTGGAGTTTTATTTATTTTTTTTAAAAAGACTGTAAACAGGGTTACACATCAAGTGATTGAAACTTGGTGATCTCATATATATATATATATATGTATATATATATATTCAAAAGCTTTATAAAATCCAATATATAGGCATATCATTTTCAACTGGCTATATATGCTGTCTGTAGTCAGTTTTACAGCTGCTTGTAATCAAATATGCATGTGGCTTTTATTAAAAAGACATTCTGTCTAGTGGCACACAGTTTTCTCCACACACAATATACAAGTTTTCATCACACACAAGTCATTAGATTCTCAAACCCTCTCCAGTAAGAATGCTGTGGTCCTGAACCAGAACAGCATTTTAGCTAAAGCTTTCTACACATTCCTTAGTTTCAGGGTTCCTAGAGTTTATTTCGTGCATGAATTCTCTGGTGTTTGGTGAGAGCTGAGCTTCGACTGAAGTTTTTCCCGCATTCCTTACAAGCATAGGGTTTTTCTCCAGTATGAATTCGCTGATGATCATGCAGGTTGGTTTTCTTTCGAAAGGCGCGCCCACATTCGTTACATTCATAGGGTTTCTCTCCAGTATGAGTTCTCTCGTGCTGAATAAGGGATGAACTTTGACTGAAGGCTTTCCCACAGTCAATACATTCATAGGGTTTCTCGCCAGTATGGGTTCTCTCATGTTGAGTAAGCGACGAGCGTCGACTGAAGGCTTCTCCACACTCATTACATTCGTACGGTTTTTCTCCAGTATGAATCCTGTGATGCTCTATGAAACTGGTACTCCTTTTGAACGCCTTCCCACATACATTACACTGATAGGGCTTCTCTCCGGGATGAGAAATAGTTTGTTGACTAAAGGCCTGCTCACAGTCATAGGGGTTCTCTCCAGCATGGATCCTCTGATGGTCAGTGAAGTCTGTAATGTGACTGAAGTCTTCCCCACAGTCGTTACAATGGTAGGATTTCACTTCAGTCACAGTACTTTCATCTTGAGTAAGAGAGGAGGTGTGCTTGAAATCTATGCTGTAGCTATTGCTTTGGTAAGGTTTGCCTCTCTTATGAATCCTCATATGCTTATAAAGAGATGGGCTCTGACCAAAAGCCCGCCCACATATGCTACATTCAAAAGGTTTCTCTCCAGTATGAGTCCTCTCGTGTTGGACTAGGGAAGAACACCGACTAAAGGCTTTCCCACATTCCTTACACTGGAAGGGTTTCTCACCACTGTGTGTAACCTCGTGCTGAGTGAGGGATGTGCCATGCCTGAAGGACCTCCCACACAGATTACATCGATAGGGCTTCTCTCCGGTGTGAATTCTCTGGTGCTGAACAAGGGAGGAACTGCGCTGGAAGGCTTTGCCGCAGAGACTACACTGGTAGGGTTTCTCTCCAGTATGAGCATTCTCGTGCTGCCCAAGGGATGAGCTGTGCCTGAAGGCCTTTCCGCACACATTGCATTCAAAGGGTTTCTCCCCAGTGTGAATTCTCTGATGCTCCGTCAGTTGTGTCTTCCACAGGAAGGTTTTCCCACAGTCAGTACACTCATGATGTTTCTTTCCAGGATAAATTCCCTGATCTGCACCAGTAGGGTAAGCACCCTCTCCTTTATGTGTTTTCTCATGTTTGGTAAGTGATGATCGATGAATAAAGGCTTTCCTACATTTATTACACTTATATGGTTTCTTCTTCGCAAGGGCATTGTTTTGATTAAGTAAGTCTGAATTATGTCCCAAATTGTTTCCAAGCGTCTCACATTCACTAGGCCTTATTCTTGAAGGAATGTTCAGTTGTGTAAGCAGGTCTTTATTCAACCTAGAATCTTCACTAAATTTATTTTGCTCAAAACTTTTCTCTGGTGTGATTATTTTCTTCTGGGCAGATGCCTCTGGCCCCAGATGTCTCTTCCCGTTTTCCTGGTGCCTTTCTAACTGGCTACTAATATCACAGGTGTCTTCTAAAGTGGCACTGGAGAGACCATCTGTGCTACGGGACACTTCAGCTATGCCCTGATGAAGATTTGATGATTTGGCTTCACTCCTGGTCTTCCAGTCTGAAAGAAATTCAAAGGGAAAAGATCTCCTGTTCCTTCCTGTTGAGACAAACTGCTAGAGAAGGATGATGAAATGAAAAAGATATAAATTACCCATGACTGTTTTGAAATTAGTCCCATGGCATGGGGAGAAGAGCTAAAATGGAGGAAAGGAAAGCAATGAAGACTGCCAACCCAGAGCGTGTGCTAAGTCCAGAGAATGAAGGAAGTCCACCCATGAGGGCTAATTTGCATATAAAGGCATATGTGAGCATGAGGGTGTTAGCAATGCAAATGGAATAGCATTATAGTCCATCTTGTAATATTTCATCTGCTTTCCATGCCTCTGGTCCATTTCATAACCCACCACAAAATCTACTTTCCTAATAAACCCATTTCATAATTTCTATTTTATTTGTATTTATTTGAAGTGCAGAGAGACAGAGAAACATCTTCTATCTGCTGGCTTATTCCCCAAATGCCTGTGATGCTTGGGCTGGACCAGCACAATGCCAGGAGCCCAGAACTCAATCCAGGTCTTCTACCCGGGTGGCAGGGATGCAAGTACTTGAGGAACCATCTGCTGCCTCCCAAGGCGTGCCACCAGCAGGAAGCTGAAATCAGAAATAGGGAGCCAGGACTTGAATGCAGGCACTCTAATACGGTGATGTGGGTGTCCCAAGCAGCATCTTAACCACTATACCAAACACCCATCCCAAGGCAGATCATCTTTCCCCTTAGCACTTGGCTGTGATGTTAGTCTATCTGAGCTCTGATTCTACTTTAATCACCTTAACATACTGACCCAAAGGATTTATTTCAATCTGCCTAATAAATGGATCGCTAAGTCCCTGTTTTTATCTTAGAATATCAATAACATAGAATTAATTAATTTATAGGTTTTAAGAAGGGTAACATTTAAATACTAAGGACAGGGAGCTTCTTGGAGTGATGGAAATGTTCCATATCAATAGGAATTTGGGTTATAAATTGGGTTTCAAAGTGAATACACGTCTTAAAACCCAACTGTATCATACAATTAAGAGTTGTACATTTTACTATGACATTTTCTCTTTTTTTGCTTTTTCAATTCATTTATTCAGAAGGTAACAAAATCAATTCTAAAAATAGTTCGCTTAACAAATAGCATGTATACTGTGCAAATAGAACTGATGAGCTCAATAAAAGTAGGAAATTATAAATTGCTACAAACCACAGCTTGTTATGGATGTTACAGAAAATTTCTTTAGAAAATTCCAGTTACTTTTTTTTGACATTTTCTTAAAAAGAATCATAAATAAATATTGAGCACCAATGAATGACATGCATGTCGAGTATGAAAAGTATTCACACTTGCAACTTACTTGGAAATGCATCAAAAAGTAAGTCAGAGGTGGGCATTTCATTAAGCCACAAAGCTGCTTGTTAGGATGCCCATGTCCCATATTTAATGCCCACCTCCAGCTTCCTGCTAGTGTAGGTCCTAGGAGGCAGCAGCAATGGCTCAAGTAGCCAGATTCCTGCAACCCACATGGAAGACCAGGATTTAGTTCCCAGCTCCCACTAGCCTTCCCCAAATTACTGCCACTGTGAACATCTGGGGAGTAAAGCAGTAGACAGGAGCATTCTCTTTCAAATGAATAAATAAATAAAAAGACAGATATCTTACTTTTTTACTTACAGTAACATAGATATATAAAGAGATATGTGATAAAGCAAATATAACAAAATCTGAACAATAAATGTGATAATCTTAACAGTGGGTATGTGGCATTCACTATGTAAGCTTTTCAATTTTTCTATATATTTGAAAATTTTCAAAATAACATGTTGGGAAAGGAAAACAACTAAGGGGCCCTAAACCCCAAATTCCTTACCTTGCAACAAGAATCGATTCTAATCTAAAGGCAGAGAATACTTTGTATTTTTTTTTTAGAATCCTTCCCAGTGGGACATTCAAGAAATATTTGTTGAATGAATGAGGAAATTCTCTCCCCAGCCACATTCCCTAACAATCAATCAAGGTATTTCTATCTGCCTTTTGTATGCTCTGCAACACACACACATAGAATGTATAGGAAGATAATAACAGGCTCTTCCTCTAAGAGCTTGAAATCTAAGAATAGAATCCAATATTTTGACAAGTAAAAAAAAAAAGTGAAAAACTACTGGATGGCACAATATTAAATCCGAGTTTGCATAGTGGAGATGATATAAATGCTATTTGAAATCAGGGAAGGACCCAATAAAAGCACATTTGTATTAGTTTCACAAGTTAATAGACCTTGACCTAAACAAATCAATGCTCTCGATGGGCAGAACATACTTCTATTACCAATTAAGGGAAAGTATATGTTACTTACAGGGAATGTTAGAAGTTCAGCCTAAAGGGAATTTGTTTCAGCAGGAATAGAAAGATAACAGTGGAAGGTGTGAGAGGAAACCTTTCAATAAGGGGAGTTTCTATTTTCTATAATGAGGTTCAGGGAGTATTAGCAAGGTCTTGTTAAGAGGCAGGTAGGTGGCCGGCGCCACGGCTCACTAGGCTAATCCCCCGACTAGCGGCGCCGGCACACCAGGTTCTAGTCCCGGTTGGGGCGCCGGATTCTGTCCCGGTTGCCCCTCTTCCAGGCCAGCTCTCTGCTGTGGCCAGGGAGTGCAGTGGAGGATGGCCCAAGTGCTTGGGCCCTGCACCCCATGGGAGACCAGGAGAAGTACCTGGCTCCTGCCACCGGATCAGCACGGTGCGCCAGCTGCGGCGGCCACAGCGGCCATTGGAGGGTGAACCAACGGCAAAAGGAAGACCTTTCTCTCTGTCTCTCTCTCGCTCACTTTCCACTCTGCCTGTAAAAAAAAAAAAAAAAAATTTAAACAGTGGTGGTGTTTCCACGATTCTGTGAGTACGTGATTTATAAAACAAAAATGGTGTAACTTTAAAAATCCAATATGTATTATAGAAAGACAGAATGAGTACTTCCAGCTGGGAATTACAGCCTCTGGCCTGATCCAAGATGTCCCCAGCAGAAGTTAAAAGGCAAAAAACATCAGACACTCCTTAAGGAGGAAAAGAACCTGGGTTGAAAGAAAAAAAGACTAAACTGATTATGGACTCTGGCCTGAGGGGTTAGAAACTCAGTGCTTTTTAATAGGTCCAGGTAGTAATGGGAGACCAGTAAGGTGGCTCAATGTGCTGGCTGGGGATTAGAGCGAGTGTTTCTAATTTTATGTGCCCTCGGCACCCATTTTTAAACATAAGCTTAACTTCTCATAGCAGATGCACGGCACAACCTCCTCAAATAGCTATAGCTGGTGGCCAGAGACGACAACCTTAGAGGGCTCTCTCCAGCCTACCAGGCTGGGCTCCCTGCTTTCCCACAGCCCCATCTATCGGGCCATTCCAACATTTACCCTTAAGATGACCATTTCTCAGTCACAGCAGGACCTCCTGGAACTACTGCTTTAAACCCACCAATTAAAACCCCCTGCATAAAATATTCAGATAATACTCTGAACCCAATAAAAGCACTGGCCCATGGGTCTCCCCACAACCCCACCGCCTCTGTCTGCACTCACTCCCTGACCTCCACGTACGTCTTCTAGGCAGGTAATATACCTAGAGTCTGGAAGTACTAAAATACCTCCTGAACTGTCACACTGTGGTACTGTCATTGAAGTCCTGTCTACAATATGACCTCTGGCAGGGAGATGCATACCAAGGGATCCCTTGTGGATGCTATCGTGCCTGGGCCTCTGCTGGCTACCAGAAACAGCAGGTACCAGCTTAGCTGATACTGAAGCTCAAGGAGTTACATTCAAAACAAGAATTAAAAAATGATGAATTCAGAGTTTACATATTCTATATGAACTTCATGAGACTTCTAAGTGGAGAGATCTTATGAAAAGAAAAAAAAAAAAAAGTGACCAGGGTACAAATAAGGGAGATTCCTGAGTCTACAACACAGACCAACAGGCCGCAACTACCAGAAGGCAGGCATCCTTGTAGGGGGGAAACAGAGAGAAGGGGGAGGAGGCTGGAGGGCAGGTTCCTTCAGGAAGATTCACTTACTGGAGAAAGCAAGAAAAGCCAAAGACCTAATGCCAGGAAGCACTCAACAAGTCAGAACATCAGGTGAGGATGAGCCTACAGAAAGTGGAGGCAGTGAGTCAAACCAGCATAGGGGGCAGGTGTTGGTTCAGGGGTTAAAGAGCCATGGGGGACATGTGCCTCCCACACTGGAGTTTGAGTCCCAGCTCCATTTCTGATTCCAGCTTCCTGCTAATACACATTTCGGGAAGCAGTAGATGAGGCTCAAGTCCTCGGCTCCCAGCCCCTTACATGGGACACTGGGTTGAATTCCCACTTTCCTGACTTGGAGCTGGGTGCCCTGGCTGTGTGAGCATTTGGAGACTAAACCAGTGGATCAAAGATTCTCTCTCTCTCTCTGCCTTTCACATAACATGAAAAATTTGTTAAAAACCTAACAGACATGGGCTGGAAGGAGGATGGTGCTATTCCCTAGACAGAGGTTTAAAGCATGTGGTCAGGGAAAGGAAATTCAAGGCAGGTTATAAAGGGAGGAAGAATCAAGGCTGTGGGTATTTCCTGTACCTCTAGGGCACCAGACAGTGAAAGAAACAATACACAACAAGGAGGAGACACAGGAGTTTAACTCCTATCTGAATGAGTGAGAAAAGGGCCTTTAAATAATGAAGAGAGTCTAAGGATACCAGAGGAGAAAATAACCCAGCAAGGAGGGCTACAGAATAGGCAGAGATGGTATTCTAAATGCAGGACAAGGGCTACTTTCAGAAAAGAAAAAGAGGTACCCTCTTCTCTAAGACCTACTGACAGCAAGAGCACGCTACTGAAGAACAGAGACACACAAAGGTGTGACCAGGAACATGACTTCAGCTCTCCATGCAGGTCTAAGAGCTCTCAAATCAGGGACTCCAAGGCACTTCCCCCTCCCTCAGCTGTGCCATTACCTGCACTGATTCCTCCCTGCCTGATTCTCACTCATTTACCTGCACAGAAGCGTCTCTGGATTTCTCCCTCTGATATCCACGGCTCTTCTCCTTGTTCCAACTTGAAGATCACCTCTGGCTTGGAAACTTGATATCCTGCTCATGGGTGAACACACAAGATGTGGTTGTTTGTGCAGGTAGACAGAGTACCCTCCTACAAGTCAGTACTAGCCTTTGATCCTCAGGAACTCCGAAGGAAAAGGGTGCAGCTTGAGGAATCATGGAACCAGCTCCCTTTCTCCAGTTCTGCAATTGCACAGGCTCAATTCCTATAAAGCTAGATCCCGAAGAGATGACCAAACTCTGACTCCTGAACCCACTTAGTTACCCAAGCTATGAGCATAACTTTAGCAGCTGAGAAAGGAGGGACCCACCAATAGACAAGGCTCTGAAAGAAGTAAGTGGTACTTACCAAGAGCTACCAGGTGGCTATAGTTCTCCAGCATCACATCCTTGTACAACGTTCTCTGCGCAGAGTCCACGTGGTGCCATTCCTCCCTGGTGAAGTCCACGGCCACATCTTTGAATGTTACTGATTCCTGTAGGACCACATTCCTGCTCAACAAGGGATCGACCCCATCAATGTTCCCAGGGCAATACTATGAACATACTGTGAGATATATCAGAAGTGGTAGGCCAGCGCCACAGCTCAATAGGCTAATCCTCCACCTAGCGGTGCCGGCACACCGGGTTCTAGTCCCGGTCGGGGCACCGGATTCTGTCCCGGTTGCCCCTCTTCCAGGCCAGCTCTCTGCTGTGGCCAGGGAGTGCAGTGGAGGATGGCCCAAGTGCTTGGGCCCTGCACCCCATGGGAGACCAGGATAAGTACCTGGCTCCTGCCTTCGGATCAGCGCGGTGCACCGGCCGCAGCATACCAGCCGTGGCAGCCATTGGAGGGTGAACCAATGGCAAAAGGAAGACCTTTCTTTCTGTCTCTCTCACTATCCACTCTGCCTGTCAAAAATAAAATAAAATAAGTGGTGACCACACATGTGCTGTCCTGCGGTGGGGCGGGACACACATGGGGTTTTATGCACTAGCCATTTACCTAATGTAGAGGATCTGGTGTGGCCAGCAGGAAAGTCATGAGGGGCAATTTGTCCTGCAAACATGCATACCCACTTAGATATCCTCCCGACGCTGTGCAAAGCCAAGTCTTTTATATAATCACCAACCAGTTCCTTGCTGCCCTCCACTTCCTTTATATGAAGTACAGTGTGGAGTAAAAAGGGAGGGCTCATCTTCACCCTCATAACCAATCCCACTTTACTCCCCAGAAGAAACCATTCTTCATAGTTTAGTGTACATACTTGGAGTCCCTTGTCTATGTTTCACACACACACACACACACAAATTGTTTTATAAAACACCATACATATTGTTTCACAACTTGTTTTTACATTTAACTAAGTATCTTAGAGATCTTTCCATAAAGACTTATATAATTTTATTTCTTCTTGGTTTGAACTGCTTCACAGTACTCCATAGTACAGTTGTATTATGAGGGACCCACTCCATAAAACCAAGAGAACCCTTCTGGACTAAGAATAAAATTCAGGAGCCGGCATTGTGGCACAGTGGGTTAAGCCTCTGCTTGAGATGTTGACATCCCATATCGGAGTGCTAATTCAAGTCCCAGCTGCTTTGCTTCTGATCCAGCTCCCTGCTAATGCAACTTGGGAAGGCAGCAGAAGATGGTCCAAGTACTTGGGCCCCTGCCATCCAAGTAGTAGACTGGGAGGGAATTCCTGGCTCCAGGCTTCAGCCTGGCCCAGACCTGGCTGTTGTGGCCATTTGGAGAGTGAACTAGAGGACAGAAGATCTCTCTCTCACACTCACTCTCTCTCCCTGTTTCTCTGCCTTTCAAATAAATGAGTAAATAAATCCTTAAAAAAATAAAATTCCAACTCCCTCATTACTCACTAGGCTGTAGCCACACTGATTTTGCTGTTTCTTGACTATATCAAGCTATGTGATATGTATAAAATATAAAGCAATTTTGGAGATTTAGTATCAAAAATAATTAAACGCATCATTAGCAATTTTTTTTTTTTTTTTGACAGGCAGAGTGGACAGTGAGAGAGACAGAAAGGTCTTCCTTCCATTGGTTCACCCCTCAGTGGCCACTGTGGCCAGCGTGCTGCAGCTGGCACACTGTGCTGATCCAAAGCCAGGAGCCAGGTGCTTCTCCTGGTCTCCCATGGGGGTGCAGGGCCCAAGCACTTGGGCCATCCTCCACCGCACTCCCGGGCCACAGCAGAGAGCTAGACTGGAAGAGGAGCAACTGGGACAGAATCCGGCGCCCCGACTGGGACTAGAACCCGGGGTGCCGGCAGCACCGGCCTTCATTAGCAATATAAAAAGTGATTACATGTAGAAATAATACCCTAGATATGGCAGGTTAAATTATATATTACTAAACTTAATTTCCCTTCTTTTTAGATAGTGGCTACTGGAACATTTAATATTACAATGTAGCTATATTTCTTTTGGGCAGCACTGTTCCAGATTATTCTAGATCCCTACTTCAGGCCATTCTCCTTGGGCTACTGAATCACCTTTCTGTCAAATTTGCCTCCTGCCACACATACCACGTCTCTGCCACGAGGACTCTTTGTCCCGACAACATCATTCTATTTTGTGTCTTCCTCCCTTCATGCAACCTATTCTGGGTATGATCTTTCTTTCTTTTAAGATTTATTTCTTTGAAAGGCAGAGTAAGACAGGAGAGACAGAGAGAGAGAGAAAAAGACTCCTCCATCCACAGGTTCCCTCCACAAATGGCTACCAACAGTTGGGGCTGAGCCAGACCAAATCAGAACCCAGAACCCCATCTGGGTAGCAGGAGCACAAGTACTTGGGTCATCACCTGTTGCTTTCTCAGGCACATCAGCAGGGAGCTGGATTGGAAATGGAACAGCTAAAACTCGAAACAGCACCCCGATTTGGGATGCCAGCATTGTCAGATGTGGCTTAATCTGATGCACCTCAACACCAGCACCATGACACAATGTTTTCCCTCAGCTCTATGTGAAAAAAAAAAAAAAACAACCCTCACTGTCATTCTAGAACAAGCACAGTGGTCCTTCCCCCATCCTCCCTTGGCATTTGGCCCACATCTCTATCGCAGAATTGCAGCCATCTGTCCACAATCCAGAGTGTGGAGATGGTCAAGAACAACCTGGGCAACTGTTCTCAACTGCCCATGCACAGAGGGCTGTCAGGCATCTTTTAAAAGCTCTTCAGGTAGTTCACAATGAAAGAACAACAGCAACGATTTATTTAAATTTTTTATTTACTTATTCTTTATTTATTGAGATGCAGAGAGAGGGAGAGAGAGAAATCTCCTATCCACTGGTTCGCTCTCCAAATGCCCATAGCTGTCGGGCCTGGGCCAGGCTGAAGCCAAAGCTGAAGCTGGGAACTCAATCCAGGTTTCTAATATGGGTGGCAGGAACCCAAGTACTTGAACCTCACTTGCTGTCCCCCCTTCAGGATGCACATTAGCAGGAAGGTGGAACTGGGAGCAGAGACGGGATCAAACCCAGGTTCCGATATGGGAAGCGAGCATCCCAAGCAGTGTCTTAACCACCGGCTCTGAGTGCCTGCCTCCAGCAGTGAAGACTTACAGAGCACGCAGCACAGACCAGGCCCGGGCTTAGTTGTTCATGTGCTCCCTCTCCCTGATCGCCTCACTGCCACTTCAGCACTGCCCCACCGGAAGCGGGTACCACTTGCAGCTGGCCCTGACGGGGGGCCCTAGATGAGAGCCACTGCTGGCAAGGAGCAGGGGCTCAGAGATGCCTCCCGAGTGAGGCAGCGGAGCAGTTCTGACTGCGGGGAAGTGAGGAGTTGCCTTGAGGCTAAAAATCATGGGGGTTAGTGAATGAGCTTCCTAGACCATAAAAAGCAGGGGCAAGCAGAAAAATGATGATACTGTCACCAAACCGAAAAGTTGGTTCCTCTCAAATGTCAGCCACGTGGAAAAATCTCTGATATATACAGTTAAAGAAAATTTTTTTAAAATGAATTTAAAGATGGAAGGAGAAACAAAACAGTAAAATGACACTAACAGTATGTTAGGAAGTTGGAAAATCTTAAAGGATGGGTGTTCTAAATTATCAATGTTGACATAAAAACCTTAATAATTGAGGTGTACACAGAGAAAATTGCTCCCCAATCATCCTCTCTATAAAAATCCTAGGTCAAAGTGTTTCATGAGTAAATTCTTTCAAAAGACTGAGAAAGAAGAAAAGTAATCTGAATGTTTCTGTAAGTTAAGGAGATGCTTGACACCAAAGCCTGTCAAAGAGATCTCGTTCTCTGCTGGCTACTTCATTTAAGAGAGATGCAGGGGCAGGTGTTTGGCCTAATGGTTAAGACACTGGTTAGGATGCCTCTGTCCCATAATGGAGTACCTGGGTTCAATCCTCAACTCCAGCTCTTGACTACAGCTTCCTGGGAGGCAGTGGCGAGGGCTCAAGTAGTTGGTTCCCAACTTTGGCATCCTTCCTCTCTGGGTATTTGGGGACAGATAAGTGAATAGGTTCTCTGTGTATCTCTCTGCCTTTCAAAAAAAAATTACAGATGTAAAGACTTTTCAATTGCGTAAGTATTCTTAAAATAATTACCTGGGATAACCAAGTGGGACTTTATCCCAATATTATTCATAATAGTAAAACAAAATTTGGGGACAGCATTGCAGCATAGTGGGTAAAGTCCCCGCCTGCAATACCAGTATCAATATGGGCACCGGTTTGAGTGCTGGCTGCTCCACTTCCAATCCAGCTCTCTGCTAATATACCTGGGAAAGCAGCAGAAGGTGACCCAAATGCTTGGGCCCCTGCACTCACTTGGGATACCAGGATGAAGCTCCTAGCTCCTGGCTCCTGGCTTTGGACTGGTTCAGCCTTGGCCATTGCAGCCATTTGGGGGAATGAACTAACTTTTTTTTTTTTTTTAAGATTTATTTTATTTATTTGAAGCACAGAGTTAGAGAGAGGTAGAGACAGAGAGAGAGGTCTTCCATCCACTGGTTCACCTCCCAGAGGGCCGCAACGGCCAAAGCTGAGCAGATCCAAAGCCAGGAGCCAGGAGCTTCTTCCAGGTTTCCCATGTGGGTCCAGGCGCCCAAGGACTCAGGCCATCTTCCACTGCTATCCCAGGCCATAGCAGAGAGCTGGATCAGAAGAGGAGCAGCCGGGACTAGAACCAGCACCCACATGGGATGCTGGCGCTTCAGGCCAGGGCGTTTACCCACTGTGCCACAGCACCAGCCCCCAACTTTTTTTATTAAAATATTGGGATGTCCCATAAGTGCCTGGGTTGAGTCCCAGTTACTCTGCTTCCAATCCAGCTTCCTGCTAATGTGCACCCTGGGAGGCAGCAGTTGATGGATCCCTGCCACCCACACAGGAGACCCAGCTGAAGTTCTGGGCTCCTGGCTTTGGTCTGGCCCAGACCTGGTGTAGCAGACATTAGGGAATGAACCAGTGGATGGAAGATCTCTCTTTTTGTCTCTCTGTCACTCTGCCTTTAAATAAGTAAAAATAAATACATAAAAAACTTCATAAGAAAGAAAAACCCTCATAAAAATAATATGTAATTTAAAATAAGTTATAACTGAAAACATTTGAGGGGAAAACATGCATAGGGAGAAAAGAAGGAAATTCATCAAACCACATACAGAAGTGCTAAAGAGGTATCCTAAATATCTTTTTTTCTATTAAAATGTCTATAATATTAAGATTTATATGCATACTATAAAGATCTATATTATTTATAATATATAAATCTCAACAACAAAAAATCAAACCCAATCCAAAAATGGGCATAACATTTCTCCAAAGAAGATACATATCCAAATGGCTTATAAGCATATGAAAGAACTATAATATCACTGACCACTAAAGAAATACAAATCAAAACTACAAGGAGACACCACTTCATGCCTACCAGGTTGGCTACTATGAAAACAACAGGGGCAGGTATTGTAGCTAAGTGGGTTAAGCTGCCACGTGGGTGTCCATATTTCCTATCAGAGCACCCTTTGGAGTCCCAGCACCTCCACTTCTGTCTCCAGCTTCCTGCTAAATGCAGGCCCTGAGGCAGCAAGGATGGCTGGTGGTTGGGTCCCTGCTACCTACACAGGAGGACTGTACTGAGTTGCCAGCTCCTGTCTTCAGCCTCCATCTGCCCTCTGTGAGAGTGAACCTGAGGATGGCAGCTGTCTCACAAAAAAACAACCAAACAACCAACAAACAATACCTGTGGCCTACGTTGTGGCATAGTGGCAGGTTAAGCCGCTGCTGTGACGCAGGCATCCCGTATGAGTGCCAACTGGAGTCCTGGCTGCTCTACTTCTAATCCAGCTCCCTGTGAAAACGCCTAGGAAGGCATTGGAAGATGGTTCAAATATCTGGGCCCCAGCCACCTCCGTGGGAGACCCCCAGTGGAGTTCCAGGCTCCTGGCTTCGGCCTGATCCAGCCCTAGCCGCTGTGCCCGTTTGGGAGTGAACCAGTGGATGGATCTTTCTGTATCTGTCTCTCCCTCTCTCCTTGTAACTCTGCCTCTCAAATAAGTAAATATACATTTTTTAACGGTTACCTTCTTAGGTGTGGACATCTGGGCCAGAGACATAAAAACAAAACCAAGGCCGGCGCCACGGCTCACTAGGCTAATCCTCCGCCTTGCGGCGCCGGCACACCGGGTTCTAGTCCCGGTTGCCTCTTCCAGGCCAGCTCTCTGCTGTGGCCAGGGAGTGCAGTGGAGGATGGCCCAAGTGCTTGGGCCCTGCACCTGCCATGGGAGACCAGGAGAAGCACCTGGCTCCTGGCTTCAGATCAGCACGATGTGCCGGCCGCAGCAGCCATTGGAGGGTGAACCAACGGCAAAAAAGGAAGACCTTTCTCTCTGTCTCTCTCTCTCACTGTCCACTCTGCCTGTCAAAAATTAAAAAAAAAAAAAAGAAAAACAAAACCAAAAACTACACCCCTACTACAAAATGTCTCCTCCTGACTCAAGCCCCTTACCTGTCCCTCCCCCCTTTTTTCCTTCTTGAGGTAGTTACCTTCCAGGATACTACAAATCACTGGATATTCCAGGATACTACTTATCACTGGAGCCCTCTCCTTCCCCTCCCTAGGATGGAAGCTCCAGGAGGGCAGAGTCCTGGACAGATTTTTGTTCACTGAAGTATCACAACTGCCTAGACAAGCGCCCGACACACTATAGGCTGAATAAGTGAATGAAAGAACGAACGAGTTACAAGGCCAAAAAGGAGTCCAAACTCCTTTTTGTTCTCGCCTTCTCATTTCCCGTAGCCCACAGGTGTCTCCCAGGGCACTGCTCCATGAGCAAGGCCCTCATCTTGCTCCCCAGCTTCTCTGACCCAGTCGATCAGCTCTGCTCCCAGCCACCGCGTCTTCACTCTGCTCAGCCTCTGCCCTATTCAAAGACATCTCTGACTCCGTCCTGCAGGGAGAATTCCTGCCCCTTCTCCGAACTCAAGCAGCTCCTGGACTTCTGCAGCAGCCCAGGACATCCCTTCTGCAGGGAGCAGAACTAACTGTCCAGACGAGCAGTCACATGACTCGCTCACTCACCCTTGCATTTCCAGAGGTCCGTGCTCAGAGAAGGGGAATTACTGACAAAGAGGGATTTCTGCCTGACATGTCCCATTGCAGGCTTATTGCGAGTTAGATAATCCAAGAACACCACCAGGTCATTCCATTAGAATAAAACTAAATCAGACTGCCTAGGGAACATAGCCTTAAAAGTGAAGTTTAAGGTAGCCTCTAAAATTCTCCACTCAGAACACATACTTTCTCCACTCACAAGGCAACTCCCCCTTCAGAGGCCCACGCCCCTGGTCATCCTAATTCTCCCTCCTGAGGAGGAAACTCTTTGCAAAGATGAAAATGGCTTGCTCTGGCTCTCCCCAAACCAAGTAACTCTCTCGGCCTAGTAGTGTGACTTGTCTTACTCCTCAGGGCTCTCCCTAAAGAACAGAAACCAGAAGAAGTAAAAATATACCTAAAGGCACTGTATGCTGTGTTTTTTATTTACTGTAAAGCGCTGTAGTTTTACTTGAGAGGCAGGGACAGAGATCTCCCATGCACTGGCTCACTCTCCAACTTTCCACATCAGCAGAGGCAGGACCAGGAGCTGGGAACTTGCGCTAGGTCTTTCCCACAGGTGGTAGGGACTCAACTACTTGAGCCATTGCCTGCTGCCTTCTGGAGTACGCATCAGTAGGAAGCCAGAACCAGAAGTGGAGCTGAGACTCAAACCCAGGCACTCCACCATGGGACGCAGGGGTCCCAGGCAATAAAATGCTTTTAAAGGACATTACTAGTTGTTTTTAATAAACACTTTTAATTTACTTATTGTATTTGAAAGGCAAAGAGACAAGAGACACAGAGAGAGAGAGAGAGATCTCCCACGTGCTGCTTCAAAGGCCTACAAAGGCCTGGGTTGGGCCAGGTGGAAACCAGGACCCTGGGACTGACCGTCAGGGGCTCCTACGTGGTGGCAGGGACTCAAGTTCTTAAGCCACCACCTGCTGCCTTCTAGTACGTGCATGAGCAGCAGCTGGATCCCAGACATGGGACGCCGGCATTTCCAGGAGCATCCTAACAGCAGTGCCAGGCACCCACCCTAAAAGCTGCTTTTAAAGGACATTACTAGTTGGTATTTTTATCTGGACTGATATGACTGTCTCACACATTGCCATCTGGAGCCTTACTTTTTTTTTTACAGGCAGAGTGGACAGTGAGAGAGAGAGACAGAGAGAAAGGTCTTCCTTTGCCGTTGGTTCACCCTCCAATGGCCGCCGCGGCCAGTGCACTGCGGCCGGCGCACCGCGCTGATCCGAAGGCAGGAGCCAGGTGCTTCTCCTGGTCTCCCATGGGGTGCAGGGCCCAAGCACTTGGGCCATCCTCCACTGCACTCCCGGGCCACAGCAGAGAGCTGGCCTGGAAGAGGGGCAACCGGGACAGAATCCGGCGCCCCGACCGGGACTAGAACCCGGTGTGCCGGCGCCGCAAGGTGGAGGATTAGCCTAGTGAGCCGCGGCGCCAGCCTGGATCCTTACATTTTCACCGACAGACTCTGTAAATCCACGGATAACCCCGAGTGAGGATGCTTCTAGAAAATGCGCCCTCTGCCGCAAGTCTAAATGAGCTCCCAAATCAGTTTCATTCACATTAATCAAGGTGCAGGCCGAACTTCCGGGGGCTGCGCACTAGCATTCCTTCATCAAGGCAGAAAAAGACAAGAAAAATTCGGGGCAAGTCAGTCTGATTTTGTCTTTTGCTTTCTTCCTTGCCCAAAAAAAAGCCCGTTTCCACCAGCCTCTTCCTAGGCAGATTCCGACGGGCCTTCTTTGGGTCAGCCGCTGGGTTCCTCTCCCCTCACTCATCGCCACTCACTTCCTCCTCCCCAGCTGCCTGTCCGTCACCTCACCCTCTCCACGGATGGACAAGAGTTCAAGAACTGGCGTGGCACTCAGCACTCAGCACTGCCGGACATTGCCCAGCATCACCAGACCGCACGGCCCCGGCCCCTCTAGCCCACAGGGCGGCCCCCGCGTTGGGAATCCCGCTCTCTCCAGCCCTGGGCGCCCCGGGGTTTCTCGCGTGGCTACGAGGCTCCAAGTCGCCAGGCGGAGGACACGAACAGTCCCCAAACATGCCCGGGGGGGCCTCGCTGGATGGGACGCCCCCGGAGGTCGGGGACGCGCTGCTCACCTGGGGCGCGGCCGTCGGCGGCCTCGGGGCCATTCCTGCCTCGCCGGGGCCCGCTGCCCGACCGGAGCTGGGGAGAGAGGACAGGGCGTGCTCACCGGCTGCGGCCGCCGCCCGGTCCCACCCCGCCCCGCCGCCCCGCCTCCGGCCCTCAGCCGCTGCAGCCCGAGCGCGGCGGGCAGCGGAGCGTGGGCCCCGCCCGGGCACGCCGCGCCTCCTTCCCCAGCTGAAAGGCCCGGCCGCCTCCAGGACACCTCACAGCAGTCACGCCCAGTCTCACCCGCTGCACGGTGGCCGATGGCCTGCGGGCACCCCCCACCTCCCGAACCCGTGAGAAGTGCCGCCCCCACCCGCGCACTCGGAATCACCGCCTCCGGGGGCCTCCGAATCTTGCAACCTCAGGCCACCCAGAGCCGCTGGCCGGCTCCTCCCACGCCTGCAGCAGGCTCGGTTCTCTCCAATTCTGATCTGCTGATGGGCTTGCCCAGAGCGGCCTCAGCCGCACCAGGGCCGGACAATGGCTGCAGCGGCGGGCAGAGCCGGAAGTGCGCCTGCGCACGCGGAGGCTCGCGCCCGCAACCCCGGGACGGTGGCGGATGCGCGAACTACACTTCCCAGACGCCCCCGCGCGCAGGCCCCCACAGAGGGGGCCCCGAGGGGCGCTGCGGTGGGGCCCGCGGTTAGGGCGGAGCTGGGGAGCGGTGTGGCTGTCAATCACTGGGCTCGGTCAGTGAGCCACCGCCATCTTGCCTGCGGGGGTCAGACAGCTGTGGCTTGGGCAGGAGGGGTCTCTGCGTAGGTGCCTGTGGACGAAGTAGACAGTAAGAGCGTAAACATAGCCACGAGATGATTTCAGGTTCTGACGTCAGCTGTTAAGAATGGGACAGGACGGGGAGTGAGGCAGCGTTAGGGCTTGGGCATTCCCGAATCCTTGTCAAGAGGCGATTCTCAGGGCCTGTCTTCACACTGGCTCCCCATACTACACTTACTACGATCAAGAAACTTGACGAAATATTTAATGATACCGCAGAAGAGAAAAAAATTTCCGGGAGGTCCCGCACGAGTGCCGCCCAGACTGTGCCGCAACCATGTTGGACCATCGCATTGCTTAGGGTGTTGTGCTTGGAGTAAGCCACAGATGATGGCAAATTTCAGCACAAAGATGGTGAACTTCAAGGGGTCGTGGTGCAGTGGGTTAAGCCGCTGTTCGAGATAAGCGCATCCCAAGTCAGAGTTCCTGGTGTGAGTCCCAGCTCCTCAGCTCGTGATTCCAGCTTTCATTGCTCCCGGAGTAAGTGGATGCAGTGGAAAGCACTCGGAGTTTACCCCCCGGGAGAGGGATGTGCAGTTCACAGCAGATAAGAGGCTGTGGCCCCAGAACTCCGAAGTCGGGCACCCCTGAGTCTCCTCTAAGGAATTCACACGTGCACTTCCGTGTTGTTTAGAATATTTTAAAAATCTTTTAAAATGCATGCATGAGCTGGAAAATTGGTAAGGACTACACAGAGGGAAAAAAAAAAAAAAAAAAGAAACAAAACTGATGACGAGTATAGGCAGAACATTGAAAGCCTGCCTTCCCCTGGAAGTTATCTGCCAAGGGAGACTGCCCTGAGCTTTGTTTCTGGTGCTCCCGAAGCACCAGAGAGGTAACAAAGCCCACGTCCCATCTGAAGTAGGGTGTCTAATGGAGACAACCCCCAACCTCCAGTAAAAATAGGGACTCCAAGGGTGAAACCCTCCACTGGAGACTGCCGTCTTAAACCTTGGACATGGGGGTCAGCGCTGTGGGGGTAAAGCCGCCGACTGCAGTGCCAGCATCCCATATGGGCGCCGGTTCGAGTTCTGGCTGCTGCACTTCTGATCCAGCTCTCTGCTATGGCTTGGGGAAGCAATAGAGGATGGCCTAAGCTCTTGGGCCCCTGCACCCGTATGGGAGATCTGGAAGAAGCTCCTGGCTCCTGGCTTCGGATCGGCGCAGCTCCAGCCGTTGCAGCCATCTGCGGAGTGAACCACCGGATGGAAGACCTCTCTCTCTCTCTGTAACTCTTTTTTTTTCTTTCAAATAAGTAAATAAATCTTTAAAAAATTAATAAAATACACAGAATTAACAGCAGATTAGACATCAGTGACCAGAATGTAGATCTGAGGAAATAATTCACAAATGATGGGATGGAAAAAAAAATGAAGGAGAAAGTGTACAGATGGGGCTGGCATCGTGGCATAGCACGGAAAGTCGCTGCCAATGATGCTGGCATCCCATATGGGCGCTGGTTCACATCCCACCTGCTCTGCTTCCGATCCAGCTCCCAGCTAACGGCCTGGGAAAGCAGTGGAGGATGGCCCAGGTGTTTGGGCCCCTGCCACCTACGTGGAAGGACCCAGATGAAGCGAATGGTTTCCAGCTTTGACTTGGCCTGGCCCCTGCTGCTGTGGCCATTTGGAAAGTGAACGCAGTGGATAGATCTCTGTGTGTGTGTCTCTTTCTCTCTGTAACTCTTTCAAATAAGTAAATAAATCTTAAACAAAAAATAAAAGTATGGGACTGATATTGTGGCCTAGCAAAGCCACCCACCACCTGTGACACCACCACCCCATGTGGGCACCGGTTCGTGTCCTGGCTGTTCCACTTCCAATTCAGCTCCCTGCTAATGTGCCTGGGAAAAGCAGTGGAAGATGGCCTGAGTTCTTGGGCCCCTGCCACCCTCGTGGGAGACCCGGAAGAAGCTCCTGGCTTTAGTCAAACCTAGCCCCAGCCATTGCAGCCATCTGGGGAGTAAACCAGCAGATGGAAGCTCTCTCTCCCTCTCTCTCTCTCTGTGTAACTCTGACTTTCAAATAAATAAACAAATCTTAAAAAAAAAAAAAAAACAAAACAGACTCAGCCATAACATATCTAATCTGGGTTCCAGAATAAGAAATAGAGAAAATTGAGACAATATTTGAAAAGGTAAAGGCTGAGAATTTCCAGAATTGGTAAAAGATACAAATGTACAGATTCTGGAATGCCAGCAGTCCAAACATGATGAATGAAAATAAATTTACACTGACACACAGCACAGGGACACTGAAGAACACTAACGATCTTTTTTAAGAAAATTGTTTATTTATTTGAAAGAAAGAGTGACAGAGAAAAAGAGGGCTGGGCCATGCTGAAGCCAGGAGCCTGGAATTTCACCCCAGTCTCCCACGTGAGTGACAGGGGTCCAGGTACTTGGGCCATCTTCTGCTGCTTTCCCAGGCGTGTTAGCAGGGAGCAGGTTCAGAAGTGCAGCAGCTGGGACTCGAACCGGTGCTTCAACACGGGATGCCAGCGAAGCAGGTGCTGGCTTACCCAGCTGTGCCACAATGCCAGCCCCTCAAAGATCTTAAAAGTAGCTAGAGAGAAAAGACAGATTAGCTTTGGAGGAATGGAAATTAGAAGATAGCAACAATGGGAGCCAGAGACACTTAGAATAATATCTTCAAGAAAGAATTGGGGGCTGCTGCCTGCCAGGCAGGTATCCTATCTCGGGGTGCCTGTTCAGGTCTTGGCTACTCTGCTTGCTGCCTGCCAGACTTAATCGTCCTCTGTCCCAGCTGAGACTGATCTCCCTGAAGCCTGTTCCTCCCTTGGCTCCCAATGCTGCCCTTTCTGCAGCTCCTAGAATTTTCTACATTCCACCCTTGTCCCCACACATCAGCTCTTTCTTTTTTTCTTTTTAATAGCTCTTTTGGGATACCATTTATCTATCATAGGGCTCACAATTGAAAGTGTACAATTCAGTAAAAAAAAAAAATCACTATAAAACATTTTCATCATCCCAAGAAAACTGTGCCCCATAATAGCCACTCTCTAATCTCATCCCCGCCACCTCTCAGTCCTAGGAACTTGCTGTGTTTTCTGTCGCTCCCCCTCTTCGTGGAGGAACGACACAGGACCCTGCGCTGTTCTTTCGTCTGCTCGGCCCTCCCCGGGTTTGCTGCTGGTTCTTCCCGGGTTGGCTACCGACCCTTCCACCTCCGTGGAAGGGCAGTTCCCCCTGGCCACATTCCCCACTTCCGCAGGGGAGCGGCACACCGCCGGCCGGCTTTCTCGGGGGCTGCACGGGTGTTCCTTCAGCTAGATGTTCCCCTTAGATGTTCCTGGTGCATGCCGTCTCTCTCCTCCTTTATAGTCCTCCTCCGCCAATCCTAACTCGGCTGCCCACACGCCGAGTACGCTGCTCTCCAATCAGGAGCAAGTCCTACAGTTTATTGGTTGAACTGGAGGCAGCTGTGCGGAAGCTGTTTACTTCTCTCCCAGCGCCATATTGTGGGAGAGCAGATGCATAGAATAAGTCTTAATTCCAGTAACTTAGTCCAGTACGGATTGCTCCCCACAGTTTTCTGTACACTAGATTAGCCTATTCTGGACATTTCCTATAAATGGGATCATGCAATATATGATTTCTTTTTGTAACTGACTTCTTTCATGCACCATAGTGCTTTTGAGGTTCATCCATGTTGTAGCACATGTAAGTATTCCATTTTTATTGCTGGTAAATATAGATATACTGTGTTCATTCATCAGTTGGGATGTGTACACTTTGGCTTTTAATGCATTCATAATAACAACACTGCTAGGAATAGTTGTGTGAACACTTTTATGGGGACATGTTTTCATCTCCCTTGGGGCGATACTGAGACGTGGGATCGCTGGACATTTGGTAGCCTCATGGTTGACATTTTAAGGAATTGCAAGTCTGTTTTCCAGGGGGGCTGCATTATTTCGCATTCCCAGCAACAATGTGTGGGGATTCCGATTTACATCCTTGCCAGCATTTCTTATTGTTTAACCATTCTAGTTGTATGTGGCTAATTTTACATTATATGGATTTTACTTAAAAAAAAAAAAGCCTAAATGTTGACAAAATTTTGACGCCACGAAAGCATTTTTCACATTGAAGACAATGGACAACAGTAGCAGAAATCCACAGGGCACAGGAGGTGTTGGATAAGGACTAACCGATGCCTTTAGAGAGTGGCAGGAAGCAGGCTCTGAGCCATGCGGAAGCTGATGTGGGCCTGGGCCCCCTTTTCCTACCTCTCAGCAGACATGTCTTCTTGATTACTCCTCTCAGGCACCCCCTCCCACTCCTGCTCCACCCGCTCTGTCCTTTATTTTGATGAATGACATCTCAATACACAATAGCAGTTTGGATACAAGAACTATTTCGTAAAATGCTTTATTTATTTGGGAGCCAGAGTGACAGAAAGAAGGAGAAACAGAGAAATCTTCCATCTGCTGGTTTACCCCCCAGATGCCTACAGCCCCTGGGGCTGGGCCCGGCCAAAGCCGAGAGGCAGGAGCTCCACCCGGGTCTCCCACATGGTGGCAGGAACTCAAGTACTTGGGCCAGCATCTGCTGCCTCCCAGGTGCGTTAGCAGAAAGGGGTATTGGAGGTGTAGGCAGAACTCAACCCATGCACTGATATAGGATGCAGGTACCCCAAGTGGTGGCTTAACCCACTGCACCACAGCCCATGCCCCAGTAATCCTGTTTACACACCCTGAAGACTATTGCCTGGCATTGTTTTCAATGCCTCCACCCAGAGGGCATCTCAACCATAAACTCTCAGACCTGGGCTATGCTTTGTTTTGATGGGTCAGCAGGAATGATGGCTTCCCAAAGAGGTCCATGTCCAAATTCCCAGGACCTGTGAATATATTTCCTTACACGGGAAAAGGAACTATGGGTGTGATTAAATTAATGATTTTAAAAGGGGGAGGTTAAGTTTGGATTATCCAGGTGGATAAATCTAATCCCGAAGATACACAAAGGTG